CTACGTCTCATTTCAATCCTTTGATATCTTGCCATGAGCTTTTCAATCTTCACTCAATTTCTTATTTTTTTTCCTATTGTCTTTCATTCACTATTCTCTGTTTGCCAAATTCTTCATATGTATTCAATTTATCCTCCCTTTCTGTTTTGTACCCAGAACATCAGCTGGCATGCTTACATAGAGTGAATGTTTTTATTGAGTTAAGATTCTCAGGTCAATTCTGGCCTTGGATGGCCAAAATCCCACTTGAACATGAAGCACAGATAACGCATATTGGAGTCAATGTCGTTCATCACTGACTTTCCACCTACATGCAGTGAAATGAAATGTCTGCTCTCATGCCAATAAACAAGAAATGTCACAGCCATCTGTTCTCTGGCCTCCAAATGTGAATGAGGGCTCCCAAAACTGAGAGCCAGCAGGCACTGCCACCACCACAGGTGTTTGCTGAGGAGCTCAGGGAATGCAAGCCGCAACCATCTGGCACATCGACCACTCCTTAAGGTAAACGAGGAATTAAGGATGCAAGCAATCAGGAAACAGAATTTGGCCCCAGATAGCAAGCTCCAGGAGTTGGTGATGGACAGGGAAGCATGGCATGTTGCAGTCCATGGGGTCTGGACAGAACTGAGGGACTGAAGTGAACTGAGCTGAAGTGCATATGAAAGGAATGAATTCAGTGAGCTCAGAGGCCTGCATTTTTCCATATGCAGAAGAACAATAAGCTCCTTAACTTGACATCTGATTTTCTTTGCCTCACAATAATCTCTGACGTTCAGATTCCCAGTCCCCTCTGTTGCAGACTTGTATAGAGCCTGACTCCCCCTCCTGCCTCCGTAGAGCGGTTTTCTCATGACTACTGAGATGCTGCTTCCTGGTCTTAACATTCCCATCAAGGCCTTCACATTCCCGTCGATTTTATGTGTAATGGTCTACCATTTTGAAAGTCATAATATACTTTTGCCTGAGATGTTCTTAAGAAATAGAAAAACACATTACATCATTTCCTTTGTGTTTACTCAACTCCTCAATAGAACTCTAATTGCTCAGGTAAGTTTTCCCATTGGGATTTGGATATCAGAGTGTGTGATCCTGAGATCTGAGATTAGAAAGCTAATCTCAAAAGCTTCAAAGCAACATATAAAAGGTCTTGCATTACCCTAAAGAACTGCAGCCTTCCTAAGGAAGGCACAGATTTCTTCTATGAACACAGAAGACCAGCCCACATGGGTTGTAAAAATTACACAATGGATCAATTTTTCTTTTTAAATCTTTAAGCGCTAAATTGATTTTTCCAGTGAAAAATGAACTAATACTGACAACAGTGTAGTAAGAAGATGAATGAGAAAGATAATAATCTGGTAAGTGAAAAGTGAAAGTGAAGTCGCTCAGTTGTGGCCAGCTCTTTATGACCCCATGGACCGTAGCCTACCAGGCTCCTCCGTCCATGGAATTTTCCAGGCAAGAATCCTGGAGTGGTTGCTATTTCCTCCTCCAGGGGATCTTCCCAACCGAGAGATCGAACCCGGGCCTCCAATACTGCAGCAGACTTTTCTTGTCTCAGCCACTAGGGAAGCTCACTTATTTTACACATAGAAACTGATGGTTTGAGAATAAACATGCTTAGGGAATGCAGTTTTTAACTTCTGAAAATATATCTAACAAAAACAACAGCAGAAACGAAACCTAACATTTGACACATGATAGTGTTAAAGAATCTGCCTGCCAATGCAGGAGACGTGAGTTTGATCTCTGGGTCAGGAAAGTCCCCTGGAGAAGGAAATGGCAACCCACGCCAGTATTCTTGCCCGGGAAGCTGCTAGGACAGAGAAGCCTGGTGGGCTACAGTCCGTGGGGTCACAAAAGAGAAGGACAAGATTTTGCAACTAAACAACAACAAGGGCAAATCTTAAAACAAACCTCACCATTGCTGGACTCTGATTAGGAATCAGAATTAAACTCTGTGCTTATTAGATATTATTTATTTTTAAAGAATGGAAGAAGTTGTATATTAATTAAAGCTGAACTGATTTTTATATTATATTATTTGTCCTGTCTTATGGTAATGCATTGATACCAACAACTGTCAATACACAAGTGAAAGGATTCAGGCAGATAAGAGGGCTGACTTTAAGAGAGAAGAAAAAAAAATGCTTTAAAAAATAATGATATCACTCAGCCATTAAAAACAATGAAATAATGGCATTTGCAGCAGCGTGGATGGACCTAGAATGTCGTACTGAGTGCAGTAATTCAGACAGAGAAGAAGTATCATAGGACACCCTTTATATGCAGAATCTAAAAAGGATTGATGCAAATGAACTTATAAAAAAGAGAAAGAGATGTACAGACTTAGAGAAGGAAATTATGGTTACCAGTGGAAAAGAGTAGGGGGAAGGAGAATGGGATTTGGGGATGAACATGTATGCACTGCTGTATTTAAAATGGATAATCAGCGAGGACCTACTGTATAGCCCAGGGAACTCTGTGCAATGTAGAGTGGCTGCCTGGATGGGAGGAGAGTGTGAGGGGGAATTGGTACATGCATGTATATGGCTGAGTCCTCTATTCACCTGAAACTATCAAACATTGTTTGTTAATCAGATATACCACAATATAAAATGAAAAGCTTAAAGAAATTAAAAGGAAAAAAGAAAAAGTGACTAAGGACTTCCCTGGCAGGTAAGCACATTGAGTTTGGGGGAAATAACTATACTATTTACAGTAATTTTCTAAGCTCCAACATTTCTAACATGTCCATTTCTGGGACAGTAGTGTTTATTGAAGAATGTCCAGTGTACAGAATGTCCAAACTCTGGACCTGATCTTTGATTGCAAAGCTGTGTAGTCCTGGACTATTTATTGGGCTGAAAGCATCAGTTCCTTCTCAATAAAACTGAGAGATGATCAGCCCTGTTCTTTAAACAGTTTAAAGAACCCCAGTTCTTTAAACAGTTCTGTTCTCTAAACAGAACTGTGAGAATTAAATTAGATAAGAAAGTTTACTTTGAAAATTATAAGATGCAAATAAATATATTAATGTCAGATAAACACATTTACCCAGAATTTACCTAATCTACCTAGAAACAGAACAGATGCAGAAAAATAGGTGTTGAGCAATGCAGAATCTACAATTATTATCATGTCTATAGTTCATTTTCTGTACCCAAAAAATTGCTTCACAGATAGCTGTGTTGTGCTTATTAACTCTAAATGTATACACAGTGTTAATAAAGACATTTAGTTTTTTTAAGAACTTGGAACAAATTGAAAATAGGATGGATGGTTAAGATTTAGGTAATGTGCTTAGATTATGTTCTGAGACAGAAAATATGAGATGAAAATGAAAATGTATTCAAATCTGAAGTTGTTTAAATACTGAGTTTGTAGAAGCTATGAATAATGTAAATTGTTAAAGAAAAATATATTTGTGTATATAACATATATGCACACATACTTATCTTTAACTTTTATAGGCAGGAGACAGTGAGTACAGGGAGGCCTGGCATGCTGCAGTCCCTGGAGTCCTAAAGAAACAGATACTATTTAGCCCATAAAAAACAACAACAGTGCGTATAGCATGTATAGGCATCAGAGATTTTACTTACTTTATTCAATACATAGCATGTTATAAAATGTACACAATATAATTCAAAGAACCACAGTATTGTAAATCAGGAATTCACAAGCAAACTGACAAATAGATGCAAAGCTGGATTGTTACCATCAGCAGGGACAGAAATCAATTATCTCTATTCTGGGCAAAATGTGCCTGTCTATGGACAAGTGTCACTTACATTGCTATGGGTTATCTACAATTTACAGAGCTGTGGACTAAAGCAATGACAAGGAAATGCAGAGATAACATGGAGAGGTGGGTAGGTGAGAATTTAAAACATCTTTTATAATTTTAATCAAAGAGGCCATCCAATATTCCTGAATATTATTATTGCATTGTCTAGATGAATTTAATAAATATGCAAGCATTTTGATTTCTCTAGTTGTATTTCATAGCTTAGATTTCAGATAACATAAAGTAGATGTATGGATTTCCTCAGAATTACTATGTAGCCAACTTTAGAACAGTGAATGAACAAGATGGTGAAGATATTGAGCCTAGAAGGAAATTTAACACGATTTGATGAGGAAGGCACTGTCCTTTTCATTTTATAGGTGATGAAGCTGAAATTCTGTGATTACTCGGCCTGCCCAAGACTTTACAACTGCCAAGTGGCAGAGTTATGATTCAGTTACTTACATAACTAATTCTGAATCTTACCTCCTCTATTTATCAGTGGATTTCAAGAAACTTTAGCTAGTTTCTTTAGTCTTTGGAGGGAAATTCTCAGCTCAAGGCAAGAAATAAAGAACTTCTACTCCTCTACATATAGAATGCTTCAAGAAACAGAGATGTACCTATTTGTTGTATAAATAAAAACACCACAAAGAGTGTGGTGTTACTCAGTTTGCTATGTAGCAATGAACCTCAATCACTTGACATTGCTGACAGATGAGAGAGTTGATGAAATTAAGAAATTCAGAGTTCACCCGCTGGTTTGATGGTGTCTCACTTAATAGGGGGGAAAAAAAATATATATATATATAGCTTGAAGAAATAGAAGTATAAATAATCAATATAATTAAATAAACTCTCAGGGAATTCCCTGGCCATCCAGTGGTTAGGCCTCTGTGCTTTCAGTATAAAATAGACAGGTTCCATTGCTCATAGGGAACTAAGGTCCTGCTAGCTACATGTCTCTGCCAAACATTTTTTTTTTAAAGTAATTAACTAATTAAAAAAAAAAGTATTTCAGTTGAAAAGCTATGCTTATACTAAACTTACTTTACTTATGCCTAAGTGTTATGAGGGTGCCCAAGTGGATTTAGAATTGCTATTCTAACTACTTTAATTATTTTCCTTTTCAGCTACTCTTGAGGTTATTATCAACATCCCCATCGGTACCCTGCTGAAATTCCAACCTCCAGGAACACTGCAGAGAATGGAGGTGGAGAACAGCACTGTGAAGACACAGTTCTTTCTCTTGGGATTCAGTGACCACCCAGAACTGCAGAGTGTTCTTTTTGCTGTGTTTTTGTCTATCTACTCTGTTACCCTGATGGGGAACCTTGGGATGGTTTTATTAATCACAGTCAGTCCCCCTTTGCACACCCCTATGTACTTTTTTCTCCGCATCTTGTCTTTCGTAGATGCTTGCTACTCCTCAGTCATTGCTCCCAAATTACTTGTGGACTTAGTTTCTGACAAGAAGACCATTTCTTACAATGGCTGTGCTGCACAGCTTTATTTCTTCTGCTGTTTGGTGGACACAGAGTCTTTTATCTTGACTGTCATGGCTTATGATCGGTACATAGCCATCTGCAACGCCCTCCTTTACACTGTTATTATGTCCAAGAGGATTTGCCGCCAGCTTGCAATTGGAGCGTTTTTAGGGGGCACCATGAACTCTGTGATTCACACCACTAATACCTTTCACCTGTCTTTCTGCTCCAGTGAAATTAACCATTTCTTTTGTGACATCTCCCCTCTCTTCTCTCTGTCCTGCACTGACACCTACACCCATGACGTTGTACTGGTGGTCTTCGCTAGTTTAGTGGAAGCTCTCTGCCTTCTAACAGTTCTCCTCTCTTATATCCTCATCATAGCAGCCATTCTTAAAACAGGATCTGCTGACGGAAGAAGAAAAGGATTCTCCACTTGTGCTTCCCATCTGACCGTGGTCTCTATCTACCATGGTACCCTGATCTTCATTTATTTGCGTCCCAGTACTGGCCATTCGCTGGATATTGATAAAGTGACCTCTGTGTTCTATACATTGATTATACCTATGCTGAATCCCCTCATTTACAGTCTAAGGAACAAAGATGTGAAAAATGCTTTTAGGAAAATGATTAGCAGGAAATTTCTTTCTTAAGAAAGGGTGACACTGAGGCTGACAAGTTTTCTACCCTGTTTCTTGACATTATTTTTAACTAATGGAAAAGACAGTGTAATATGGGTATTCCCTAATTTTACAGGCAATGAAGCCTCAACCACAAACTTGGACCAGAATCTAATGTTAGAGCCAGGCCCTGTTACATATGTCTATATCTTTATCATTTTAACTTTGATTTTTTTTTTCACACTCACTCCTTACAGGTGGAAGTTTAAATTAGTCTCCTTTATGGAAGATAATTTGCTAATATTTGAATGAAATATACAATTCACCTGGAATTTGAAAATTAAATATGAAAGTATCATTTAAACCAGTAATTCTACTTCTAGTAATTGAGCCTGCAATAGTTTACCACTTTCAAAGTATTCATGGCATCAGAGCTTATAGTCAATTCAGTTCAGTTCATTATCTCAGTTGTGTAAAACGTTTTGCAACCCCATGGACCACAGGATGCCAGGCTTCCCTGCCCATCACCAACTCCTGGAGCTTACTCAAACTCATGTCCATCGAGTCAGTGATGCCATCCATCCATCTTATCCTCTGTCGTCCCCTTCTCCTCCCACCTTCAATCTTTCCCAGCATCAGGGTCTTTTCAAATGAGTCAGTTTTTGGTCAGGTGTCCAAAGTGGAGTTTCAGCTTCAGTGTCAGTCCTCCCAATGAATGTTTGGGACTGATTTTCTTTAGGTTTGACTAGTTGGATTTCCTTGCAGCCCAAAGGACTCTCAGTAGTCTTTTCCAACATGACAGTTCAAAAGCATCAATTCTTTGGCACCCAGCTTTCTTTATAGTCCAACTCTCACATTCATACATGACCACGGGATAAACCACAGCCTTGACTGCTGCTGCTGCTAAGTCACTTCAGTCGTGTCTGACTCTCTGGGACCCCATAGACGGCAGCCCACCAGGCTCTCCCGTCCCTGGAAGTCTCCAGGCAAGAACACTGGAGTGGGTTGCCATTTTCTTCTCCAATGCGTGAAAATGAAAAGTGAAAGTGAAGTTGCTCAGTCGTGTCCAACTCTTCATGACCCCATGGACTGCAGCCTACCAGGCTCCTGCATCCATGGAATTTTCCAGACAAGACTACTGGAGTGGTTTGCCATTTTCTTCTCCAATAGCTTTGACTAGACAGACCCTTGTTGTCAAAGTAATGTCTCGGCTTTTTCATATGCTGTCTAGGTTGGTCTTAGCTTTTCTTCTGAGGAGCAAACATCTTTTAATTTCATGGCTGCAGTCACCATCTGCAGTGATTTTGGAGCCCCCAAAAATAAAGTCTGTCACTGCTTCACTTCTCTAATGAGCAGAAATATGGCAGAAAAACATTGAAGTACATTAAATTCCAAGCAAAATAGAGTGTCAATAGATTGCTGTGAAAAACCGACTTTCACCTATATGATGTAAATTTATTATACTATCTAAAGACTAGTTTCATCTAAAATTGGCCCATTTTATTAGATCTACTTTGTGGTATAAAAAAGAAAAAAATTAAGCCCATTAAATGGAAGGCCAACAATGGAATCTATTGACTGTTTCTGCCTTTCTGAGAATTTGCATGGTTGAATAACAAATTATGGGGAAATTATTTTAGGAATCAATAACTAAAATTAAAAAATTTGCAAGAATGCATAATAACTCTTCTATCTTGAGCTTTTGCAAAATAAGAAATCTGCACTAAAGACTTTGGTATGTTCTAGCCTGTCTGCTTCAATCCTTATCACTATACTCCCCTTCTTACTTCACTTCCGTCTCATATAGCCACCAGACTGATTAAAAGATATCATCATACAACTGCATTGTTATCAATGACAGTGTGTAGTAGGCTGATGTGTGTTTGTGTACTCAGTCACTCAGTTGTGTCCGACTCTTGTGGCACCATGAACTATATCTTGCCAGGCTCGTCTGTTCATGGACCTCTCCTGGTGAGAATACTGGAGTGGGTTGCCATTTCCTTTTCCAGGGGATCTTCCCCACCGAGGGGCTGAACCTGTGTCTCTTGTGTCCCCTGCACTGACAGGCATATTCTTCACCACTGTGTCCCTGGGAACCCCGTCAGTGGACTAATACTGCAGTCACACTCCTGTGTCTTGATCCCGTCATCCCTGCCCCTGAAATGTGTGTGTGCACCTAGTTGCTCAGTCGTGTTGGACTCTTTGCGGCCCCATGGAGCCCGCCAGGCCCGTCTATCCATGGAATTCTCTAGGCGAGAATACTGGAGTGACATGCCATTTCCTCCTCCAGGAGATCTTCCAGACCCAGGGATCAAACCCATGTCTCCTGCATTGCAGGTGGATTCTTTATCTTCTGAGACATCAGAAAAGCCCCTGCCACTGAAATACTTAAGTACAAATATGACATAACAAGCAAATGGTAGATTTGAGCATATGTCCAGTGTCGAAAATAGAGATATACATATGGGTCATTGGCTGTATAACTATATTTGTAAAAACATAGTGATATGAATGTTCAACAATTCAATAAGCACAAAGTTCTGTGTTAAAGACAGAAGCTGCAACTTTTCACCTCCCTGGATATCTCTCTCTTTAGAAATGTGCTATGAGCCATTTACCAATATTTATCAATATCAGTAACCTCAGACATGCAGATGACACCACCTTTATGGCAGAAAGTGAAGGAGAACTAAACAGCATCTTGATGAAAGTGAAAGAGGACAGTGAAAAAGTTGGCTTAAAGCTCAATAAGAAAACTTAGACCATGGCCCACCCGGTCCCATCACGTCATGCCAAATAGATGGGGAAACAGTGGGAATAGTGGCAGACTTTTTTTTTTTTTTTTTGGAGGGGGGTCCAAAATCACTGCAGATGGTGATTGCAGCCATGAAATTGAAATATGCTTACTCCTTGGAAGGAAAGTTATGACCAACCTAGACAGCATATTAAAAAGCAGAGACATCACTTTGCCAACAAAGATCCGTCTAGTAAAAGCTGTGGTTTCTCCAGTGGTCACATATGGATGTGAGAGTTGGACTGTAAAGAAAGCTGAGTGCCAAAGAATTGATGCTTTTGAAGTTTGGTGTTGGAGAAGACTCTTGAGAGTCCATTGGACTACAAGAAGATACAACCAGTACACCCTAAAGGAAATCAGTCCTGAATATTCATTGGAAGGACTGATGCTGAGGCTGAATCTCCAATACTTTGGCCACATGATGAGAAGATCTGACTTTTTTGAAAATACCCTGATGCTGGGAAAGATTGAGTGTAGGAAGAGAAGGGGGCGACAGAGGAAGAGATGGTTGGATGGCATCACTGACTCACTTGACATGAGTTTGAGTGGACTTAGGGAGCTGGTGATGGACAAGGAAGCCTGGCCTCTTGAAGTCCATGGGGTCACAAAGAGTTGGACACATCTGAGCAAATGTACTGAACTGAACTGATGATCTATTTAGCAAAGTTACTTTAAAACAAAACTTTTCACTACCACTGAGCCCACTGCGTAAAAAAGGACTTCAACCAGATCACTTGTAATGTCCTCTCCAGCTGATACACCCTTTGTCTGTAATATATGACTCTATTGCTGTTTAAATCCTCTCCCACTATTGAAAAGAACTAGAAATTTGGAAAATGTTGGGAAAAAAAACAGGAATCATTTCACTTCAAAGGAAAAAAAATGTACTATTAATGTAGGCTCTATAAACCTGCAAAGTGGTGGCATGAAGCTTTGGATAGTATGTGTTTCATGAAGCCAGAGGCTTTTAATTATGGCTCTTGTGTCACCTCTTATTCAAATTCAGCCTCTCAGAGAGTCCTCAAAGAAGTGGATATCCCAATTTATTAGCCTGCCAGTAAGTAAAACTTGAATAAAAAGCTAACAGTAAATAAACACAGTATAATAACTCATCTAAAGAATATTTTTGTTGTTCAGTTGTTAAGTCATGTCTGATTCTTTATGACCCCATGAACTGCAGCACCATGCTTCCCCATCCTTCACTATCTTCCAGAGTTTGCTCAAGTTCATGTTTATTGAGTCAGTGATGCCATCCAACCATCTCATCCTCTGTTGTCCCCTTCTCCTCTGGCCCTCAATCTTTCCCAGCATCAGGGTCTTTTCCAATGAGCCAATTCTTTGCATCAGGTGGCCAAAGTATTGGAGCTTCAGCTTCAGCACCAGTTCTTCCAGTGAATATTCAGGGTTGATTTCCTTACGGTTGACTGATTTGATCAGATTGATCAAACCAGTCAATCTAAAAAACAGCAAGATGCAAATAATTAACTTAGCAACTGTTGGTGAGGATGTGGAACAGCCATGACTTTCACACATTAACTGTAGAATAAGAATTGCTGCTACACTTTGTAAAACTCTGAAGTGAAGTGAAGTGAAGTCACTCAGTCGTGTCCAACTCGTTGCGACCCCATGGCTATATATTCCATGGGATTCTCCAGGCCAGAAAACAAGAGTGGATAGCCCTTCCCTTCTCCAGGGGAGTCTTTCCAACCCAGGGATCAAACCCAGGTCTCCAGCATGGCAGGAAGATTCTAAATTGTGTCTAATATAGCTGGACATATACATGTCATATAACTTAAAAATGCCATTCTTTGAATGAT